CAGGAATGTTACCAGGCTGGATATGCAATAACTTTTATGGTGGACATCATTAAAGGTTCTTATTTGCCTGATTAAATCTGTCCAACATGCCTAATTATTCTAACTCAGGCTTATCCAATGGCCAAAGATCAAATAGCCAATGTTTGTACTGACAGTAGCTATGGACAACAGGTTGCAAAATTGTTAGAGGCCATACAGAAATTAAAATAGTTGGCAATTATCAAAATTCCAGGACTTCTAAAGCTGCCACCATGAAAGCAAAAGGAAATTATTTAGCTGATGCTGCAGCTAGATCTGTTTTACCATTACAAAGGGAAATGGACGGAGGTCCCATATAACCAAGCTTTTATGGCTCTCAGAGGCAGCCCTAAGCTTGTACTGTCTGTAAACTAGAAAAACGTACCCAGATGATGGAAAGAAACATTCCAATAATGGGTGAATGGATTTGCCTGTCCGTTGCCAACATTTGGGTGGCAGCCTAATTGTTAAGGTAAAAAACAAACAGAAACAACCTTAGCCATATCTGAGCAGATCCATTTAATTTATTTCAACTATTCCTTTCTAAATTAGTAAGTTTGATAAAAGTTATTGAATATCTAGGTATTTTGAAATAACATGAAAAACTGAGACGCTGACTGTTAGACCAGTCTTAAGTTCGCCTGCTTTGGTTTTTATTGAAGAAAGCTGCAGAGTGGAATTGGTGCTGTTGATGAATATCTTGTACTTTATTGGAGGTGTGTTTCTTGAAAGTGAGTGTAATTGCCAACAGAGGAACCTATTTCTAAAGGTTACGCAATATATTCATAAAAGTCAATCTAGGAAACACTGACTGCTTACTTTGTGGTTATCATTGGAAACTGAGGTTTCTAATAGTTAAAAACTCAAGTAAGTTGGAAAGAAATTACCAGTATATCCTATATAATAAAAGCCTAATATGCAAATTGTCCCCTCGATCAGGAGTTCGACGGGAGTTCAACTGTTCCCTATGATGTGCGCTGATCACCAGGGGGCGGTGCAGAACATGGCGTGCATCCAGGACACATGCTGCAGCCTCTCACCAGCTACCTGGGGGCGGGGATGATGGGGACGGAGGTGTGGTGAAAATGCAGAGTGTCCGCTGAGCTCGCTCTCACTCCCTGTTACCCTCCCCCGGGACGCGAGGGCTCAAACACTGGGGAAGCCCCCTCACCCCCAACCCCCCCATGCTCAGGTGCCAGGCGCCCACCAGAAGCCCACCCTGTACCCACACACAGCCTCTTCTGGGTGAGCCTGGCCACAGCCGCCAAGAGTACAGGGTCTGGTTGGGCTCCCTGTGGGTTTTCACAGGACCCGGTTTGTGAGGCTGGCTGGTTGGGAGAGAGCGTGCTGCCCGCCCAGCTTCCGTGTGGCACCGCTGGGCAGCCCAGAGGCTCACGCTGAGCCCCCGCCTGTCACGCTCACCGCATCTCTGCATGGGGACTTGGGTACCGTGACTCAGGAGGCAGGGGGTGTGTGATGGTCTGGGGGCCCAGGTACTGCCCAGGGCCCAGAGGTCAGCTGGGACCCGCCCTTCCACGCCAGACGCTCACACTTTGATCGAGGCAGGCCTAGGGACCACAGGCACGCACGAATTTCGTGCGCCGGGCCCCTAGTAATTTTAATAATAGAAGATTAAAGTATAGAAATGCATTTTTAAGGGAAAAGGAAGAAAGTGAGTTATCCTTGGATTACATGTATAGGATTTATGTGATATGAGTGGTGCATTTTCTGCTTCCAAATGGCATAGCTAGGAGATAATATTTTATTAGCCTAAGAAGATTAAAATACTTATATAAATTAAACAGGATTCTGTGGGCTGGACAAAGTACTTAATATTAAAACCAGTTTAAATTTAATGAATGTCTTTTAAAGTTATTACCACAAAACATGTGGTTTTACTCAGGTTTTCAAAAAAGGCTTATGTTATGGTCTTTTGGTGAAGTCTGACTGCCTTTCAAATTTAAATTTTAAAAGACTTTTTTAACCAAGAGATGACTTTGGGGTATTCCAATGTGGCCTGGAATACCTCAAGGATTTATTCTCTCTCCTTATAAAAGAAAAGTTTTCAAACTAATTAGGCATACTTAATATGCTTGAAATTACATGGGAAGTTTTGCCAAATAATAACTATGCTCTATATGTATACATATATTTTTTTTATTACAACAGATGTTCTAGAAATTTCAGCCTGCCCTAGGGAGGAACTTGCAGAAATTCAGAACCAAATTCAAACAGGGAGCTCTCAGGGGTAGCAAGAGTCAGGCAAGCCAAGAGTAATGGTTCCTTGTGGGGGCATCCCACAGTAGTACTCTGGGTGTTTGGGGTCCATACATTGGGAGTTTATGAATTGCTTCCAGTGTTCAAGGCACACTTCTGATAAGCCAGGTATAGCGTTTTGAAAGTCTTACATATTATTTGTTCTTTATATATTGAAATTGTGTATTGAATCTAAACAATATGGGCTTTATATTGTTCTTTTTGTTTTTTGTTAATCCTCACCTGAGAATATTTTTCCATTAATTTTTAGAGAGTAGAAGGAAGGAAGGGGGAGAGACAGAAACAGAGAAACATCCATGTGAGAGAGACACATCAATTGGTTGCCTCCTGCATGTGAGCTTGCAACCAAAGTACATGCCCTTGACCGAAATAGAACCCAGGACCCTTCCGTCTGCAGCCAACGGTCTATCCACTGAGCCAAACCAGCGAGGGCTTTCTAATGTTCTTTTATGTCATTTTACAGTGATTATTTTTTACCAAGAGATTACTCTCTTGGAATGTTATATCTTACAGAAAAACAAAGTTGTTTTTTTAATCAACTGTAATATCTAAGCATTGTGTGATCAAGTTCACCTCTTTGGTAAGCCTGTTTCCACATCTGCGAAAGTGAGGGTTGCTCTAGATTTCCCAACATCATTTGGCTTGGTGTGTTTGCAGACACCAGACTTTTAGAAATCTTTATAAGAATAGCAGGTTAGCCCTACATGGTTTGGCTCAGTGGCTAGAGCTTCGGCCTGCGGACTGAAGGGTCCCAGGTTCAATTCCAGTCGGGGGCGTGCAGGAGGCAGCCGATCAATGATTCTCTCTCATCATTGATGTTTCTGTCTCTCCCTCCCTCTCCATTCCTCTCCGAAATCAATAAAAATATATATTTTTTAAAAAGAATAGCAGGTTAAAAGGCCCTGTTGGTCTTTGGCATCACAAGAATCAAGAATTCCTTAGATGGAGCAGAACTCTCAAAGTTTCTACCCTACTCCTTGTTCTTGCCAGTAGTTTAGAATTTACTCTTCCTTGGGTGTTGCCAACGTGATCTTTCTTTTTTTACCTTTTAAAACAAATATGCTTTCCTTTCCTCTGGCTGTAGGAGTAACATATGTTCATAGTAGGAAAACTGGAAAATACAAAAACGTAGACAACTGAAGGAAATCATTCATAATCCCACCTGGGATTAATAATCCCAGAGATATTTGGGGATATGTCTTCCAGACATTTTTCTACATGTAGCTTTTTTCCCATAGTTGAGACCACAGTGTATAAGTAGTTTGACATTTTGGTGGGTCTGTTCTTTTCACTTATTACACCTAACACGTATTTTCCAATGTCACTGAAACATTATTCCGAAAGCCAGGGTTAGTGGTGCTGAGTACTAGCTTGCCATTTCCCGATGATTGGGTTTTGAAGCTGTTTCTCTAGTTTTCTTTTATCAGTAAAACCGCAGGGCACAGAACCTTTTTCTCTTCGAAACCTCAGGGCCGTTTCTAAGATCCACTCCATCCCACAGAATCAGGCAGGCAGCGGGCAGCTCCGCGAGTAATTCCTCTCGCTTCAGGAACAGCTTTCTGCCTACAGCGGGCAATTCTGGAGTCCTTGGAGAGGTTTAATTTCTTAACATTTGGGAAGACACTGTATCTACTTACACGTACTGGTTTAGAGCCGGGTAATCGTTTTAACCTCCTTCCGCGGGGCTCTCAAACCACAGCGCTCTGAACGGAGGGCTGGACATCCCGAAAGGCAACTTCTAGGCCGGATTCCCGCCCCCTACGGCGCCGGGCGCTCTTACCTGGGCAATGCCAACTCCTCCTCGGCGCGGCCGAGTGGACCCCCAAAGGGGTCGCGACCCACAGGTTGAGAACCGATACCCTAGCATAATGAGGAGATTGACTATGTCTTTTACGTCAAGGTTATATATTCTCTTCTGTGTCAAAGATTAGATGAGTTTGCAGAGACGCCCGACGGCTCCGGGCTCGCTCCCTGACCCGGTCCCGCCGGGGTCGCGTCCCACTGAGGGCTCCTTGCAGTACCCGCGCCCTCATGGACTAGGTTTCCACCGCTTCCAGGCGGAGCTAGAATTGCACTTCCGGATGAAACACCTGTCGCCTAAAATTAAAGCCCAAAATACCCCCGCGCTCCCACAGTAACTCCTTGAAAAGTGGGACTCAGATTCTGGAACGTGCGGACCGCTTAATGCGAACTTGGCAGAGTTTCACCCATCCGGGCAGCGCTAGAGAGAAGGGAGGCCTGCAGAAGAGCCTGGGCCACGCCCAGACGGTGTGTGTGTGTGTGTGTGTGTGTGTGTGTGTGTGTGTGTGTGCCCTTATAGGCCAGGGACCATCCCTCCTCCCCTGTCATCATTATCTCTTCTACGGAATCGCATTCCCATACAAACCGTGATGGACTGAATGTTCCCCCCCTTTCTATGTTGAAGCCCTAATCCCAGTTGGGCTGATATTTGGAGGCGGGCCATTTATTTACTACATTTACTACATTTATTTCTCACAGTTCTGGAGTCTGAGAAGTCCGAGATCCAGGTTCTGGGGCCTCTTCTCTTCGCATGGACCAGGTATGTGGCCACCATTTCACTGTGAGCTCATAAGACCTCTTGGTGAACCAGCAGGCAAGACAGCAAGTTCTTCGGTGACTCTTGTAAGAACACCAGTTCCCTCAGGAGGGATCTACCCGTAAGCCCTCACTTTACCCTACTTGCAAACACCCTCGCTGGGAGGATTTAGCACACACCAGGTTAGCCAACTCCCTTCATGTCCCATCCCAACCACCCTCCGTGCAGGTTCAGGTCCCCACATGCCCAGAAAGCAGGTTCCAGGGACAAACTTGGGAGGAGACACAAACACACCCCAAAGTCCTCATTTATGTTTACGATCTGGTAAACATGCATGGAAATGGATTCTTAAGGTGTAGCCCAAGGGCTGAAAGTTGAAATGAGATCTGGTGACTGATAGGGATGTGCTTTTGAGAGATTTTGGTTTAGTCCACAAGTTTGAACAGCTGGTGGGGGGAAGGTGTATTAGTCAGGATTCTCCAGGAGATAGATATATATGATGAGGTTTCTTTTAGGAATTGGCTCACATGGCTATAGAGGTTGAGAAGTTCCCTGATCTGCTGTCTGCAAGCTGGGGAGCCAGGAAAGACAGTGGAACCAGGAGAGACTCGCTCAGAGCCAAAGGCCTGAGAATTTGGGGTGGGAGCCAATGCCTTAAACCTTGGTCTGAGACCAAAACCCTGGGAAGCAGGAGCACTGGTGTCCAAAGGCAGAAAAAACGGAGGTTCCAGCCCACGCAGAAGGAGTGAATTCATCCTGCCTGCACTATTTTGCTTGCTCTATTCAGCGCCACCCCCCCCCTAAATTGGATGGTGCCCACCTCACTGGCAAGGAAGTTCTTCTTTACTCAGTCTACTGATTCAAATGGTAACCTCTTCCAGAGACACCCCCACAGACTCACCTAGAAAGAATGTGGTTTTTGTTTTTTCCCCAGTTATCTGGGCATCCTTAAGACCAGTCAAGTTGACATGTAAAATGAACCATCACAGGGTGGTACTAACAGTCTGTTCCATTTGTGGTCTGTGCAAAATTGACAATGAGTACAGCAAAATGGAAGACTTGGGGAAGTAAAGGTGTTTTATTTTTTTTTAATATATTTTATTGATTTTTTACAGAGAGGAAGGGAGGGAGAGTTAGAAACATCAATGAGAGAGAAACATCGATCAGCTGCCTCCTGCACATCCCCCACTGGGACTGGGGATGTGCCCGCAACCCAGGCACATGCCCTTGACCGGAATCGAACCTGGGACCTTTCAGTCCGCAGGCCGACGCTCTATCCACTGAGCCAAACTGGTTTCGGCAAGGTGTTTTAAATGTATGACCTGCTCCTTTCATCCTCATATGAGAGAACTTATGAGATACTCCCTTCTCCACGGCCTTGGAAAATACAACGGTGTGGGAAGACTATCATCTTGATTACTTATGAGGGTGGGGGCAGGGACGTGGTATGGGAAGGGGTTTGGACTGAGATTTGAATTAAGGAAACTTCTCAGTACATGATACATCTTCATCAGTCTTGGGAGGAAGAGCCAAGTGGGAGCCTCTAAGATAAAATAATAAATAAAATCAATACCATGTTTTTGGGGAGTCACAAGGATTAGGAACACCCTCATGCTGGAGGCCAATTCCAGCAGATCATAAATGCAAGAACTTCATCAAAAGGTTGGTAGACCTTGAGCCTACAGTAAGGGCTGAAGATACATATTATTGCCTACTGGAATGGCCGAAAGCAATTCCCCCAAACCTGAATTTACATAAATGATTGCTTGCTGCCAGACAGCTGAGGGCATTTTAATCTACATGTTATTGCCGCCTGCTGGCCAAACAGCTGAACAGCTGAAGGCAATCCCCACAAACTGACAATGCCTACTGTATCCTAAACCTTACCTTTGATATGTATATCTACTTTGCTATAGGGCAAAATGTGGGAATAAAAAGAGCCCTGGGTCCGGAGATAAAGAGAAATTAGCCACTATAGCTAAGCTTCCTCTGGCTCCCCCATGGATTACAAATTTATATTATATTTCTAGTTTATTAATTTACACGTAGCACCTTATCCAGATTCCTGAGCCCTTCCAGATGCTGGGAAAGACCCCTGGCATGACTCATAGACCAGAACGATGCAGAGATGGCAATTTTGGTTACCACCACTCTACCTAAGATGGAAGGGTCTTTGTACAATGTCAGTGGATTGTTTAAACTGAAGTCAGTGACTCCAATGACAGATGCTGATCCCAATGTGATCCCTATTGCTGCCACCACCAAATGCCCACCTCCCCAGCAGCAGTGACAAACCCTGAGCTCCAGAGAAGGCCCCTGAGGCTCAGAGTATTCCTCTGGTGGCAAGCTGATTACATGGAACCCCTTCCATGATAGAGGGGGTAGCAACTTGTCTAGACAAACATGCAAATTGACCATACCTTCCCTATGCCCAAGCCACGCCCACCAGCCATGCCAACCAACCGATCCAGAGATATGCACATTAACCCAACAAAGATGGCAGAGGACAGAGCTGGGATACTTGTGTTGCAGCCACAGCTACCATGCAAGCATCCTGGCTCTGGCAGCTCCAGGCTTATTGGAGATGCAGAAGTCAGGGGAGACAGAGAAGTCCGGCTCTAGCGCCTGAGGCTGGCTGCGGCCTGAGAGACAAAAAAGCCGTCTATCCCATGATCTCAGGCTGCAGCCAGCTGGAGAAGCCACCTGCCCCGTGATCCCAGGCCTCAGCAGGCCGGAGAAGCTGCCTGCCCCACATCCGCCTGCCCCATGTCCTCAGGAAGACTGAGAAGCCGGGCCCCAGTGCCTGAGGCTGGCTGCAGCCTAGGAGACGAAGAAGCCGCCTGCCCCGTGATCCCAGGCCGCAGATGGCCAGAGAAGCTGCCCACATTGCATCACAGGGGACACAGAGAAGCCGCCCACCTGCGGTCCAGGCACCAGCGCCTGCGGCTGGCTGCGGCCCAGGAGACCAACAAGCCACCCGCGCCGAGGTCTCAGGCTGCAGCCACCCGAAGAAGTTGCCAGCCCTGGGGTCCAGGGCGCCAGCAACCTGTGGCCCGGGAAATAGGTTCCTTCTTCTCCTACGGCAGTCATTACTTCAATATTCCCCTTCTGAATTTCTCTCCTGTGCCGCAATCCAACTCCACTTTTCATCTGAAGGATACGGAACAGAGCAGTGTTGAAAGCTTACATTTTTAAGCCAGTAAGGTTGGCTAGAGCCCTTAAGGTAACAAAGGCTACAAAGGGAGGGGGACATGGACAGGGCATGACATATTATATCCAGAAATCCATATGGGGACTGAAAACTTTGCAATGATGACAATTAGTGAAGATATGAATCAACTAACATAGTTGAGAGGGACAATTCTTTCATCTTTGAAAATATCTATATCAAATCTGTTTAAATAGATTTTCATCTACATAATCTAACACATTCTGACAAGACTACCATCACCAATGTGTCAGCGTTGTGCTGATAAATGTTTAACAACTGACTCTCAATAAAAGAAAACAAAACTCTGATTTATACTGTCGGCCAATTTCTGTGGCATAAATTCTCCATCCAAGGTTGATTTCAGCTGCGAATGCAATGCCACTAAATGCAGAGCTGAGGAGAAACATACAGTAACACAGTATTATATTCTACCAGAAAGACCCAAAAAATATAAATAATGTCAAGAGTCAAAACAGTAAAGTGCAGTAAATAATTGAGGAGTGATGAATTTAGAGTATGTATTTCCTTTGGTTTTAATGTAATTTATTCACTTTTAAGATTATATAATTTAATTTTTAATAATGAACATGTTTAACAACCAGCTTACAAAATTCCTGAAAATTTGTGAGCCAGTAAGAGCAGGTTCTAGCACAATACTGAGTGGAGTGTAATGGTTAAATGCCAAGGCTCGTGGATTTGAAATGAGACTCAGCCACTTTTGGGTTTTACTGGTCAAGTTACCTGATCTCTCTATACCTCAGTGTTCTCATCTGTGTCATTATAGTACCTACTGTATAGAGTTGTTGCAAAGATCAAATGAAATCTGTGTATGACACAACACAGTACGTGAAACAATAATTCACTCAACTTGTTATAAACTGTTACTGCCTCAAAACATTGTTGACAAAATTACTCATGCTGAAAGAATGAAATTTTATTGATGAGAAAAATGCCTTATTTTGCGATCTACATGGAGACAGTCAATTTTGCTTCCTAGGCAGTAGATGGTAATCTACTACTAGAAACTGCAAGGGGGAAAATGACCTCAATCAACATGATTGAGGCAATGTATTATTAGCTGGCTCAT